AACACACCAGAATAGAGAGAATGAATAAAAAGAAATTCTAGCTTGGGAGTCATCCAGTGACTGACCCTTTCAGAAGGAAGTAACAACGGAAAAAAAGTTGAAATTCTTGGTAGGTGAGACGACTAACACACTCGGGTCTCTACAGGTGTGCACTTTGCTCGGCTGACAGTAAAGGGCCATCTTCAGATTTCCACTCAAACACTTACTGAGAGCACTCAGAAGGCTGGCTACCTGAACGGACCGGCCGTGCCGGGGGATGTGCTGATCAAACGCCACAGCTCAACCTCTGATGCCTTATTCATTAGAGATCCTTGAGTGCCGAGGCTGATGTGAGCTGTTCACCAGCAGGAAAATCAATTTCAATGAACAGAAGAATGTCACTTGTTAGCAGTGTCAACACCCTTGGGTGCAGCTGCTTTTCGGTTTCAGTGAAAATTCCTATCATGGGATGAAATCAAAATAATTCCCATATTAAATCTGAGAAGAATGTTGGCGTTTGATCGCCACGCATCGTCAAACCCTCATTAGCTTGGTCTGATAACGGGCTGCAGACGGGAGGAATCGGATGGTGTCGTCAATAAGTGGAGGATTGAGAGGTGAGGGGACGTTATCAGAGCTAATTCGTGTGTGTGTGTGTGTGTGTGTGTGTGTGTGTGTGTGTGTGTGTGTGTGTGTGTGTGTGTGTGTGTGTGTGTGTGTGTGTGTGTGTGTGTGTGTGTGTGTGTGTGTGTGTGTGTGTGTGTGTGTGTGTGTGTGTGTGTGTGTGTGTGTGTGTGTGTGTGTGTGTGTGTGTGTGTGTGTGTGTGTGTGTGTGTGTGTGTGTGTGTGTGTGTGTGTGTGTGTGTGTGTGTGTGTGTGTGTGTGTGTGTGTGTGTGTGTGTGTGTGTGTGTGTGTGTGTGTGTGTGTGTGTGTGTGTGTGTGTGTGTGTGTGTGTGTGTGTGTGTGTGTGTGTGTGTGTGTGTGTGTGTGTGTGTGTGTGTGTGTGTGTGTGTGTGTGTGTGTGTGTGTGTGTGTGTGTGTGTGTGTGTGTGTGTGTGTGTGTGTGTGTGTGTGTGTGTGTGTGTGTGTGTGTGTGTGTGTGTGTGTGTGTGTGTGTGTGTGTGTGTGTGTGTGTGTGTGTGTGTGTGTGTGTGTGTGTGTGTGTGTGTGTGTGTGTGTGTGTGTGTGTGTGTGTGTGTGTGTGTGTGTGTGTGTGTGTGTGTGTGTGTGTGTGTGTGTGTGTGTGTGTGTGTGTGTGTGTGTGTGTGTGTGTGTGTGTGTGTGTGTGTGTGTGTGTGTGTGTGTGTGTGTGTGTGTGTGTGTGTGTGTGTGTGTGTGTGTGTGTGTGTGTGTGTGTGTGTGTGTGTGTGTGTGTGTGTGGGTGTGTGTGTGTGTGTGTGTGTGGGCTTCCCAGAGGGAATTCATATCCATGTCTTTACTTTTCTTAGTGCCTTTCTCAAAACCATGCTGCTGCTGATACGAGATTTTAATATCTTACAATTTTACATTTTGCCCACATTTCCAGTTTTTTCTAACAGTCTTGGGTAATTTCTAAACTATTCACCGTACTTTGAAGTAAAAGACACTTTTACAGGAGTTTAGTCTCAGAATGATCAACAGTGACTCAGAATTAATGTATTTGTGTGTGTTTTTATGACAGGTTCCATCATCAGGAACAACTTATTTATTTTGCCTCCTTTATTTTTTTTTCTCGTGTCACAATATTTGTCCAAACTGGGCACTAATCGTGACTTCAGCAGATTTAAAAGCTAGTTCGAGCCTTTTAATATTTAAGTTTTCCAGCCATGTTGACAGAAGTCCCCCATTTCCTGGGTCCTTAATGTCGTCTTATGGACAAAAATGGCCTCCTTTGAACTTACGCTGATTAAAAAAACACTTTGATGTTTATGTTTATTTATTTAGCAGACGCTTTTATCCAAAGCGACTTACAATTTATAACCTATAGGGCATGTTGTGATCTGTGGGGGAAACCGGAGTACCCGGAGGAAACCCACGCATGCATGGGGAGAACACGCAACTCCACGCAGAAAGGCCGCAGCCGAGTTTCGAACCTGCAACCTTCGTGCTGCGAGGCAACAGTGCTAACCACTGCGCCACCATGCAGCCCTCCCTGCATTAATGTATTTTGTAATTGTATGAATTGTTTCTCGCCTCCACATACAGATGTTTTAACTTTATCCTGAAGCTTTTCATCTTCACCCATCGTTGTGTGGGAAAATGCAGCTCTGGATCAATTTAAAAGAATTTAACCCATAAAAGTGACCAATTGGACTCCTTATAAGGTGGACTTCCCATGTTTTCATCGATTTCATGATCACGTTTAACACTTTATGCAAAAATTGACATATTTGAAAGATTTCTATCCCATGTGAGGTCATGAGCTGTTCCTGCAGAAACTAAAGTGCCACCTCCCAACAGGCAGGTTGACTACATGTTAAATATTTATGCAGTATGTTGTTTCTGCATGTCAGCATCTTGTGTTTAGTTTCTTTTGTGCCTTCTGAGTCCAAGTGCTCCAACAACTTTCACAAACTGCAGAAAAACAAAAAATTTCTTAAGAAAAATTCAGGAAGTACCACCGGAGATGCTGACTGAGTGTGAGACAGCACCCATCCTGCGGTGTCGTAACTGTGTGAAATTATAAGAAGTAACACCAACAGCAGAGAAGGGAAAACAGGAACTTCTGCAGAAATTTGTTCATAACCCTGTTCTGGAATACAGAAGAAGCCGAGAGCTTCAGAGCAACAAAATATGAAGGTGTGTGTCTGAACTTCGTGATTCAGTCGAGCTCAAGCTGGAGAGAAATGTCTCTGAAACGAATTCTTCTGGAGATGCAGGAGAATGACACGAGTGACAGAAACTAGAGGAAAGACAGCGTAACTCTGAGAGACAGACGGAGAGAGACAGGAGAAGATGCAGTAACAGAAATCTCGCTCAAGCGATGACAAACGCCCAGAAACGATCCGACCTGAAACCTGCAGGGATTCTCAGAATTTTGGTTTGTTGTTGTCAGAACAGAAACTGGAGCTTCTCCACCAAAACAAAAGTCTCATCAAGTCTCATATAAATCTGTGCATCAGAGGTTCATTTAACTATGCAGGTAAAAAGAAATGGAACACCCTCCATTTCTCTGTGGGAACATGCAAATGTGTGGCCAAGTAGCAAGGCAGGATTCATCCAGACTTTTGGATAGCTGTTACGGACAATTCCAACTTCTGCAGGGACCAGGGCCACAAAGACAACCAGGGTAGGTCACTACCCAAAGCTCGTGACCACAGGTGAAGGGAGGAATGTAGATCAACACGTAAATTGAGAGCTTTGCCTTCTGGCTCAGCACTCTTCACCACAACAGATTGGTACAAGGCCCGCATCACTGCAGACGCAGCGCCGATCTGCCTGTCGATCTCACGCTTCAGCTTCCCCTCACTCGTAAACAAAAGCCAGAGATACTTATGAGGCAGGACCTCATCCCTGATCAGGAGAAGGCCTCCTACCCTTTTATGAATCAAGACCATGTTCTCTGATTTAGAGAAGCTGGTTCTCATCCCAGCTGCTTCACACTCGGCTGCGAATCGCTCCAGGGAAAGCTGGAGATCACGTTCTAATAAAGCCAACAGGACCACATCATCTGCAAAAAACAGAGACCTGATCCTCAGGCCACCAAACAGATCCCTTCAACACCTTGGCTGTGCCTGGAAATTCTCCTTGCAGGAAAAGTAGAAACCAATACAGAATAAAGAGACACGGTGGAGCTTCTACAGCTGTCTGCTTCCATGAGACGTTTGGGAACTGCTGTAATCCTTGTGGTGCGTTCACACATCCTAACAATGTGGTGACCGGTGTGGGTTGCAGCCACGCAGCTTGGTGTGTGATGCACCATTTACCAAAGATGGACCTCCCTATGGAGCTGCAGCTAGAGAGAACAGAATAAAAGGTAAAGCTGGCTCAAGTGTGCCTCTGAGAGGAAGAGAGCTGAGGATAATGGTGACAAGAACCCCTCACACACACACACACACACACACACACACACACACACACACACACACACACACAGGTAGAGTTGTCAGAGTGAAGGCCACTATTGTGACCGACTCCTGCAGCAATGGCTGCTGCGGCTGAGAGGAAGAGCGCACGTCTCACACACCTCTGCAGTGATCTGCAGCAGCGTGCACTGTTAGAGGAGCAGATCACATGACAACAAACACAAATGAGTGAAAAGTATAAAGTAAATCTAAACATCGGCTTCTTTAGGTCTCAGGCTCAAATTTATCTTAGAAATCCATAAACTAATTTTTTTATTCCTAAACATTACTATTAGTATTTCCATCCTAAAGGGACTTTTTCCACTTTGAAATGTGTTTCTGTAAAAATATGAATAAATAAATGTTTTCTCAGCTCTGCTAATGGCCTATGTGTTAGCAGTTATCTTCCAAAGGTCCTGCATTTCATTTGTCAGACGTTAATGCAGGAGATAGGTGTAGGAGACTATTTTCATGTTCAGCCTGCATGAAACACTCAGAGTGACTCATTAGAATCAGAAATAAGTAAAAAATGGTTTCTCGTTGAACTTGCTCTTTACACGAACAGGAAGCTCACCCTGACCACACACGGTTAGGTCATTTTTATTTATTAATAACTGTAAACCCTCTCATGTGTCAGGTGTCAGGGTCCAGCTGTTTTACACCTGACTGAGTTCAGGATTTCTCTCCAGACTCTAATAATCAGTTCCTCCGCCGTATCTCTCCTCTGATAGCGGCTGGCGCCTGCCGTTGTCGTCCTCCTCGTCCGTCTTTGATCGTTTTATAGACCGCTGATAAACTCTCTTGTTCATAAACCTGTGGAGCGCAGCGGCTTTACATATCTGAGATTGTTATCTTTGATTCGAGTCGCTGCTTTGCCGCGCGTGGCTACGAACCGCCTCAACAGGTGGATTAAGTTTCTACAAAGACCCGCCATCTGTCCAACCTGAGCCGCTTCTATTTTTGGAGTAATTAGATTTTGGTAGCAGGTGATGAACATCGAATTACACGGCTGTGTGTGTGCGAGTGTGTGACGTCCTGACAGCAGGAGGCCCATCGACACTCACACCCCCACCTGCTTTCCTTTGGGGAGAGAGCAGATCCTCAGGAGTGGAAGAGCTGCTTTCATCTTTTCTTCTGCAGCTTTTTCATCGTGTTCCTCCCAGCTGGAAGGAATCTGTGATCCTACGGTTCTGTCCCATCAAACCAAGAGATGGAACGATAAGGAGGAGAGGAGCTCAGGTAAGAAAAGAGAAATAAAATGAAGACTTGTGAACAATAAACAGGTGACGGGGGACCAAGTTAAAATGATAATGGAATAAAAATTTAACCCAAGATTAATAATGTGTGAAAACAGCTGTACATTTGACATTAGACTAGTGTTTTAGACCAGTGGAGAAACTGACTTAGCACATAAATTGCTCCTCCTATCCTGCATGTTTTAGATGTTTATCTGCTGTGAAACACCTGATTTGAACCAACAGGTGATAAAAGACTCGTGAAGGCCTGAAGGACGCGGTGAACAGGTCAATCCTGAACTGACTCGGGTAAAAAATACAATCATATTTACCCTAAAGTCCATCCTGGAAGCATCAGACCTCTCAACCCAAACTCTTTTCTCTCTGGTTCATTGCAGAGAACTTAAAATTACCCAGGATGCATCAGAGGCGTCACAGTGCAGCCATGTTTAGAAGAAACATGCACCCTGCTGGGTCTGAACTCTGAATCTCCTCTAAAGTTCTGAAGATGATTTCTGGGTAAAAAGTGAAATTTGGCCCCATTTCATTTCCACTGAGGATTAAAAAATGTAAAAAATGTTGTTTATTTGTTCAAACTCCATCTGATAAACCTGAAATCTCTCAGCCAACACCGAGTATCAGCTGTAAAATCTCTCTATTGAGTGTCTTCTAGATGTTCCTAATAGCAAACAGGATCATCAAAATGATCCTAACAGGACGCTGAAGCCAGGAGAGACTGATGAGTTAAAACTGCAAAGAAACACAGAGAGAAGACAAAAACTACAATCATCTAATGTGTTTCTGAAGCCTGCAGCTAAAAGGCTCTTTGTAACAAGGTGACTGCAGATTAACACGGAACTACTCAGGCATCTGCAAACACACACACACACACACACACACCTACAGCCTTTATCTGTGCATCCATTCACACCACACCAGCTTATAGTACAAATAGGAGGGCAGCGCACGCACGCACGCACGCACGCACGCACGCACGCACGCACGCACGCACGCACGCACGCACGCACGCACGCACGCACGCACGCACGCACGCACGCACGCACGCACGCACGCACGCACACACACACACACACACACACACACACACACACACACACACACACACACACACACACACACACACACACACACACACACACACACACACACACACACACACACACACACACACACACACACACACACACACACACACACACACACACACACACACACACACACACACACACACACACACACACACACACACACACACACACACACACACACACACACAGCTGCTTTCACTCTCAGCTCCACAGCAGCACCTGCTGGACATTTGTTCTGAACCCACTCTGATCCTGCAGGAAACAGTTCATCACACCCAAAACACACAACAAGCCCAAACACGAGGCCTCGCACATGAAAAAAAACTGCATGCTGCAAAAACAATTCCTGCACACAGAGACGGATCGGGCAGCAAACATGCTGCTTTCCATGTACATTATGCATGCACATGAGAACACACAGTCAGGTGAGCACAGCCTGAAGTGATTTATGAGTGTGTGGCTCGGGTCTGCATGATTTATCCTTCTAAAGCTCCGCTGTGCACCTGAGGGACTCAGCCCTCTGCTGCACCAATGCGCTGCATGAAGGCTTGTTAGTCGGAAAGCAGAGGAGGAAAGTCCTTCTGCGAATAAAGAGATTTGTTTTGGTGCACATGCTTGCAAAGAAACTGTGTGTGTGTGTGTGTGCGTGTGTGTGTGTGTGTGTACGTGTGTGCGTGTGTGTGTGTGTGTGTGTGTGTGCACGTGTGTGTGTGTGTGTGTGTGTGTGAAAGTCCTAGTCAAGTGACACGATCCCTGATTCACCATTTCTGTACAGGTGTGTGTTTGAGTGTGTGATAGCCTCCATCTTACCATGAAGCACCACAAAGATCAGCAGAACTTCAAACACACATCTAGATCTTTGCTCTAGAACATCACACACATTATTTGCACAGAGAATTAAAAAACAAAATGATATTCTGGTCATTTTAAAGTGAGGCTGTAGCATTTATCAGCAGTTTGGAACCTAATTGCAGGTATTCCTCTGACCAGAGCCACACTGATGGCCTTTGAGACGGTAAACAAACATCAAAAGAACCAAAGTGATGTGTGAGAACTCTGTATAGCCCGTTTTCAAACTTCTACCATTGAATATACCAGAACTTATTCATGAGTATTGCTCTGGTCAGAGGACTAGTTTCTGTCTCTAAGGACTCCGCCCAGTTTAGGGTCCTTCCTGTAGGTAAATAACTAATAAAACATAACTTATGAAGCACTGAAAATCCAAAATGAAAATGTGGTGGTGTGTGCAACATCTGATGAAGGATTCTGGATGTTCAGCTGATGCAGGAGCTTGAGAGATGTGACTGGCTCAATGGTAACATGACTCAACGTATTTTCCTCAAAGATGGGGAAGATTTCTGTCCAGAACAACTCCAGCTTGTTCTGTTTACACTAACAGCTCATCAAGTAAACCCAACTTTGTCTTATTGTTCTGCTTTGTTTCTTCTACAGGGCATCACAAAGCCAGATTCACTATAAAAAAAAGAGCCACATCTTTAATATGAAGGGATTTAGAGGCTTTTGAAACCAAAGGAGAAAAATGTTTCAGGGGCCAAAAGTTTGTGGCCATCTGTAAATCTTCAAAAATGCTTATTAAGATGAAGCTTTGACATCTTCAAACAACCATTAATTGGTTGGGGTAGGGTGTGTGTGTGTGTGTGTGTGTGTGGGGGGGGGGGGGGGCTAAAGAAGCTGCAGAGAGAATCCAACAGATTCAAGCTGACACGCTTTGACACGACTGACCACAGAGAGCTGTCAACCCACAAAGGTGATGGCTGAAGTCTGACCCACACATCCACGTGTGTGTGTGTGTGTGTGTGTGTGTGTGTGTGTGTGTGTGTGTGTGTGTGTGTGTGTGTGTGTGTGTGTGTGTGTTTTGCTCATCGAGCTTTCGCCTCACCGACACTCTGGGAGACTCAGTGGTTTTTGCCTCTTCCTCTTAATTGGCTGATTTGCAATGCAGTCGAAGACTTCTCAGATTTCTGACACTTGCTCACCGCTGACATGCAAAACACACACACACACACACACACACACACACACACACACACACACACACACACACACACACACACACACACACACACACACACCTGTGTGCACACACAGGCAGAGATGCATAAATGCCCACCTAATATAAACAAACACAACAGTGCAGGCCTCCTTCCTCTTCTTCCAACCTGCTTTGTTAATACACACCCGACTGACAGCTCCCTGTTGCCATGGCGACCCCCCAACCTGTTGCCAAAGGGAGCTGGTATCTCCAGGAGCTTGTGAACGCGGCTCCAAACAGGTATTTTTTCTGGCTTCCCTCTCCTGGATGTCAGCGAGCTGCCAGTCGCGCTGCACAATTACCCACTTCTGAGCAGAGAATGGATTCACTCATTTAAATGCAATTTAACTGGGATCAATTCAGCCGCGGAGTTCGCCTCCAGCGCCCCGGCCTGCATGTCGGCTAAAAACGGGTCTTTTCTGATTCTCCCCAGCCTCTTTTACAGCAGCCTGCTCCTTGACATTTATTCTGAGAGATCAGATGAAACCAACTTGAGGAAATTGCTTTGCTTAATTCATCGTTCCTTGCCGCTCTGGTCTAAATAAATCACTGCTTATTCTATTGTCAGCAACGACTCTTCTTTTAGTTTACCGTTGTCTTTACATTCTCAACAAAATAATCCATACTCGGCTGAAAAATGAGTCTCAAGGCCATTTTGCACCAAAGAGGAACTCCTTTCTGTGAGACGATGAACTAAAAGGATGTTTAGAGAAAGCTGTAGGCCCATTAAGAATAAAGTCATCGAATCCAGATTTGTTCAGTCATTCTGGAACTATCAGCTGTTTCACAATGAAACATTTTCATTTATTATGTTCACATTTTTTACATTTCTTACATGTTAGAACCCACTTATTGGGGCATTGTCTGCAGAGTTCCTCCGTAAAAATTAGAAATAATTACAATTTTACAACAAATCAGCATCAAAACATTTCTCAGAACCCTGAGAACTGACACAGACCCTGAGAATCCAAAGAGAAGATCTTATTTTTCCTCCTGGTATATCTGTCCCAACTCAAATGTTCCCAGGGAAAAGCTGAGTGGGATAACTTGGACATGGCGCAGTAGAAAAGATGTTTTAATGTAATAAAAACAACCTGCCACCCTCTAAAGACAGGATATGAGTTCAACCTTTTCCTCAGGGCTCCCAAAATGATTCTTTTCTTTATTATTTAAATTTATCTGGACCAGGAGAAGCCGTCATGTCACGGTGTTGCAACATCACTCCTGGAGGCGAGCGGACCCAAGTTCAGTTAGAAAAAAAACCTGAGACTTTTTACGAAACGTTGGCCCAAATCATGAATTTTTTCTGAGTTCCGATGGAGGCACACACACCCAAAGGCACACCCACTCTCACACAAGGTTAACATGTTGAATCGATCATCTTATGAATAAAAGACTCATAAACTGTTTTATAATAAAAACGTAACTCCGTGAAAACATCCAGGTCGTGATGTGATGAAGATCATCTCAGACTCAAAGGGAGGAGGAACCCCGGAGCCCTCTGATTCATGCTCCTCATGTCAGCACTAGGGGTTGTATCAACTAGTCGACTTCACTGCTCTGCAGTGACACCGTTAAATGGACATTTGACTGAATTGTGACCTTTAACCTCTTGCAATTTAACATTCCCCTCACCCCCATCCTAACCTTAACCAGCTTGCGCATGCAAAGCTCTGATTGTTGACGCGCTCCAGACATCTGTGTCCTGAGCACGGCCACAGTAACATTATCAAATCAGGTGTCGCCACCTCAAATACAAATTTAACACACGATCGTTCATGTCGGCTCATTTCCTTTTATGTTTTCTGTCTTTTATTTGTGCCTGATGCTTTTCGCTGCTGTGGAGCGGGTCGCATCACCTGTTTTTTCCTCCGGTGACGCACCTCACTGAAGTGGCCGGTGAGCAGCACGCACTCCGCTGTTTTTGCGGTCGGTAGATCTTTTAGAACTGCAGTTCAAAGGTAACTCATAAGGTGAATATATATGAACCCAGGTAGTAGTTTTTCTTTAGGATTGAAAGGAGATGCAGGAAGATAATAAACAGGCAGGACAGAAAAATAGTCAAATAAAAACAAGTTAGTTTTTGTACCTGGTGGTTGCAACAAACGGACACCATTGAAGGTAATCAGAAGTGAGGAACAGAAAATGAAATAAATATTTTAATGTTTAGAGCAGCAGGAACTCTGAGAGGCTGCAGGCGCATTAGTGAGTTTGCGGGTGCTCCGCGCGTGGGGTGGGGCCTGAAGCAGGATTCAGAAACTACCGTTGTTAAAAGAGATGTGTTTCACTTAGAAAATGTGGGCGCAATTTTAATTGTCAAAAACTCCAGCGAACCTACCAACCCCCCGTGTGTGAATAGTACAAAACGCGTTGAGTGCCTAGAAAAGCATTTTATGAAACTAAACCATTATTATTATAATTATGAACACATACCTGCTCCTGCCTCTCCAGCCAGCGGTCCACCATGGGGTGGTTGGCGCTGAGAGACGACCTCGCTGTCTCGCGCTGAAACTCCTTCTGATTGGTCCAGGTCCCTGCATCCCGCGGCAGGCTACGGTACGTGTCCAGACCTTTGCTCTGCAGAGACGGAGTCACATTTAGAGGAAAATCCCTCCTGTAGCAGAAGAGTTTGTGTCACTTCTGCTCTAAGACAGATGTGGTTTTACGTGAAGGACTTTCTGACTTGATTAAAGAGATAAAACGAGCCAAGGTTGTTTTTAATAATCTGAATAATTATCTTCATCATTGTGATGTCATTTCTGTGGAGTCCTTCGAGAGTTTAGTCAGCGAAACGAGCTCTAAAACCTTACAGGGTTCTTAAATCTACATTTAACCACTTTTGTAGAGAGTTTTAAATATTTCATAGCACATTAATTAATTTACACACACATACAAATGTTCGTTTATACTTGATGGAAAAGCTGAGCAATCATGGATGTAATTTCAGGATCGGACCAAACTCCCTACCTTCCTCTCCAGGCTATTTGTGCCGGAGGAATGCCGAACTTTCAGAAAGCCGGCTGTGGTGGACCATCGGGTTGGGTTTTTCCTGGACGGCGTCTCATCCGTTTGGATTCTTGGCTCAACTCCTCCGAACGGCCCGTTAACGGTGATGAGGGCGGGATCGCTACTGCGCCGGACGTGGAGGGGCATATCTGGGAAAAGGAGGACAGAAAACATTAGAACCCGTTCCAATGGACGAGGATTTCATACAGCATTTAAGGATGATTGATGTGAACTTGCCAAACAAATTAATTTCCTGCAACAATGTGGAGAAATTAAGTGAATTAATCTTGACTCTGTTTACGAGGGAATGTCTGATCAGGAAGCTCCAGGTTTTTGGGTCCTGGCAGAGCAGCAGATATGAGCGGGAACACCACCGCCGTTAGAGTCCACTAGACCCATGTGGGCGGCAGGAACGCAGTCCGAATAACGACCCCGACGAAAACGACTGCAGGCAAAACTCTGCTGTTCCTCAAAAAAGGAAACGGTGACATGATCACTGGGTCAGCTGTGTGTGTGTGTGTGTGTGTGTGTGTGTGTGTGTGTGCGCGCGCGTGTGTGTGTGTGTGTGTGTGTGTGTGTGTGTGTGTGTGCGCGTGTGTGTGCATGTGTGTGCGTGCGTGCGTGTGTGTGCGTCTGTGTGTGCGTGCGTCTGTGTGCGTGCATCTTCAAGATGGCCGCCGATGGCTGGACTCGATTGTTTGGTTCAATGCCTTCTCTGGCTTTTGGCATTTCCTTTCACTTTCTGCTGACTACAGTGAAAGCTACTCAACAAAGATTCCCTGAATCATTACCTGGACTTAAACCAAGTTTTGAATAACAGGTACAGGAATAATGGCTATGTTGGGCGTTCCCAGCAGACCCTCACTATGCGTTTGGGTCTGCCAGGTCTATGCGGCATCTTCCCCTGCCATCTGATCCAACTCACCACCAGGTGGTGATCAGTTGACAGCTCCGCTCCTCTCTTCACTCGGGTGTCCAAAACATATGGCCGCAGGTCAGATGATACGACTACAAAGTCCATCATCGACCTGCGACCTGGGCTGCCCTGGTACCAAATGTACCGGTGGGCATCCTTATGTTCGAACATGGTGTTCGTTATGGCCAAACTGCGGCTTGCACAGAAGTCCAATAACAAAACACCACTCGAGTTCAGATTAGGTGGGCCGTTCCTCCCAATCACACCCCTCCAGGTCAAGCTGTCATTGCCCACGTGAGCATTGAAGTCCCCCAGCAGGACAATGGAGTCCCCAGATGGAGCGCTATCTAGCACTCATCCCAGGGACTCCACAAAGGGTGGGTACTCTGAACTGATATTTGGCCCATAAGCACAAACAACAGTCAGGACCCGTTCTCCCACCCGAAGGCGCAGGGAAGCTACCCTCTCATCCCCCGGGGTAAACCACCACACACAGGCAGAGAGTCTTGGGGCTAACAAAAAGCCAACCCCAGCCCTCTGCCTCTCACCCGGAGCAACTCCAGCAAAGGAGAGTGTCCAACCCCTCTCAAGGACTTGGGTTCCAGAGCCAATGCTATGTGTTGAGGTGAGTCCGACTATATCTAGCCGGTACCGCTCAACCTCTGCCACAAGCTCCTGCTCCTTCCCCGCAAGCGAGGTGATGTTTCATGTCCCAAAAACTAGTTTTCTTGTCCGGGGATCGGACCGCCAAGGCTCCCGCCTTGGTCTGCTACCCGATCCACATTGCACCGGACCCTTCAAGTTCCTCCTGCGGGTGGTGGGTCCACCGTTGGATGAGCCAATGTATCCGGTTCGGGCTGGCCCCGGCCGGGCCCCATGGGCGAAAGCCCGGCCACCAGGCGCTCGCTCACGGGCCCCAACCCCAGGCCTGGCTCCAGGGTGGGACCCCGGTAACCCTCCGGGCCGGGTACTCCGACTCTTTGACTTTACCTCAATGAAAGATCCTGTGAACCGTTCTTTGTCTCACCCTTCACCTAAGACCAATTTGTCTTGGGAGACCCTACCAGGGGCACAAAGTGCCCCAGACAACATAGCTTCTAGCATCATTAGGGCACTCAAACTCCTCCACCACGATAAGGTTACGTACGGTTCAAGGTGGAGTCTGCTAAAGCAATTTTCTTACACTAAATCTAGCCAATTTAGACTACCCAAATGTGATCTTGATAAATTTGATAGGGAAATCAAAAATATTAAATGGGATCAAATCATATCTGGTGTAGATGTGGATAGTGATACAAATGTCCTTATGTCCACAATCTAAAACATAACAAAGCGATTCCTTAAGAAAAGCAAACCTAGAGGGAATAATAGATATACACTCCCCTAGAGAGTGACATAAGGAGATTAATGAAAGAATGGGACAATGCCTTAACTCTATCTTAAGACCAACCTATTGACTGATAGGCACATATTTGTGTCCTTGAGAAACAAATTAGGGAAATCAGGGACTGTGTAGTTCCTCGTAGGTCTAGTTTTTTTAGACAGTTATGCTTTTCTGTGAGAGCCTCTAAACTGTGGAATCAGATACCATTGGACATTAGAAACTCCACTTCACATCGTAAATTTAAACTCAGTTTTAAGAACTGGCTTTTAAGCACACAAAAATGTGAACACCTTTCATAATCATTGTATGTTTGTTTTTACATTTTATTTATTTTGTAACCTATAGTATGTATGATAGATACTGCAATGACGATTGTCAGCTTTAGAAGGCCCTAAAATCTGCTGACCCTGTGCAACCACTGACTGCCTGAGTAAAGTCAGGTCCTGGCTCTCGGCTAATTTTGTCTATCTTAACAGCTCCAAACTGGAGGCTATTCTCTTTGCCCCCTGCTCCCCCTCTGCTGTGGAGCCATCTCTGCCCCCGTCATTGTCAGCTTTGGTGAAGCCAACAATTACAAATTTGGGGGTCACTCTGGACGCTTTTATTAAAATGGATACACATATAAATCAGGTAGTCAAGTCGTCTTTCTTTCATCTTCGCTGGCTGGCCAAACTAAAATCTGTCCTGAACAAAAAAGATCTTCAGTCAGTTGTTCATGCTTTTGTAACGTCACGTCTGGACTATGCCAACTATGCTCGCTCTCTCTCTCTCCTAAAGGCAGCGACAGTCGGTCTAGTGTTTGTTTTGACGGGAGGGAAATGATAAAAACAAAAACAGGACAAATAATTTCTGAGTTAACAACAAAAAGGACAAAAAGACAACATTTTAAAGGAGACTAATATTTAAAAGTTACTCCGTTTGAGCTCTGCTGTAAAGCTACTGACTCTGAGAGGTTATAAGAATGTAACTGCTCAAATAAATGAATAAAGCAAGTAGACTAAACACAGAGTTCAGGGTTTTAAGGATGAAGAGGTGAGAGCGTTGGCTGCAGGTGGTTTCTGGACGCAGTAACAAGTTCTGGATCCGCTTTGATCTCAGATCAGCGTGGTGGGAGAAAAGCCTCCAGCTCCTTCCATCAGACTTCTAGCAGCAAAGCATAGTTGCTGTCATTAACCTTTAGATCATGAAACAATTACTGTAACTGCAGCACAGCGGCTTGTTAATGAGCTCTGGTTAACTCATTCACTGCCACTGACGACTAGAGTCGTCATTTGCATGTTTTTATCGTGTGGGCATCGGAACAAGCCCCCGCGCTGAGAGAACAAACATCTCAGCTCTAAAGCCGATCTTCATCCGCATACGTCACACGTCACGTGATCAGGAAGCAGAAAATCCATGTGTTAGGAGATTGTTTTGGGCCGCTGCTGTAAAAAAAAGTGAGGCGCGAACCGGAAAAGTTTCTGCTGATCACAAATCAACAATGGATTATGAAAGAACGGATAATACTCTAAACGTGCGTATTCTTCATGATGAAAGAATTGAGTCTACTCTTTGTTTTGGTTGTTTTGGCGTCAGCATATGACTCTTAAAAAACAGTAAAAACGGTGAGAAACGCTGGCAGCGAATGAGTTAAGGTGGTATGAGCTGAGACCAAAGTTCCCACTTCTGAACACCCTAAACAGAAGTAGGAGACCTTTACTAGAGATTTCTGATTTCTTTAGTGTTTTCTTTTGATGCGACTAAAGAGAATGAATTCCTTTAAATGACGTCTGAAAGCACCACACGTCCTCTGGGATCTTGTCCCGTAATCAGCAGTTTCACATCAAACATTTGAACGTTTTTAACAAGCTCTCCTGTGTAATCTTTAGAAAATGAGGCTAAAAGAGAAAAATATAATAAAAAACTGAGATTTTTACCAGATCTCCTGCCACATAAATCTGTGGCTGGATGGATTCTCATTAGGCGCTCATAGAAAAAAATTAATGAAACAGCTTTCCCCTCAGTTACTTTTTTTTTTTGCTTCAAACTCATTAAAATTCTGCTGATTTGGTGTTGACAATTAGGAGGGGCTTTATTATGAAGACTGGATGTAACTGGTAGGAGGAATTACACCAAAATGTTCAATTCTCCTCAAGATAAAATAAAATTCATGTTCAGCATCCGGCTCAAAAGACAGAGGGTCTGATGTCATCTTCACATCGTCTTTAGTGCGTTAAACTTTCTCTAAAAATAACAAATTTTATGTCCTAATTAAAAATACTGATTAAAATTGGATTGGATGTTAAAAAAAAAAATAAATCACAAAAGTATACCAGGTTTTATCCATTGCCTGAATATTTATCATGAAGGCAGTCAAGATGCAGGCCAGCGATAATAAATAGGTGGCCCGCGGGCCACGTCCGGCCCACTAGCCCTCTCTTTGTGGCCCCCAAACCCCGCAGCGCACTCCCCACCCCCACCTCTGACGGCCGACCAAGAGGTGTAGGATAGACAGAGCTGCATGAGATGCATGAGATGCGGGCATAAACGATTCTGCATCATAGAAGAGTACTCTAATCAATTATAGTGGAATGTAGTTTTGTTATTTTAACGGCGGCACCAGCATCCACATCTGTCGGAGTGGGTGTTCTCCACATTTACCAGGTAGGAAACTTTGGTACCACTATGTGGTAGTGCAGTGCTGAGCGCTGGCGTTGTAACCTGAGACCGAACCCAAACCGAATCAGCCCGATCGGTTCTGCTGAATTTGGGCCGTGAATTATGTTAATTGAGCGGGTTGTCACGCGGTGCGCTGCACTCGCTCGATCAGCGAGAGAGAGAGAGAGAGAGAGAGAGAGAGAGAGGACGCTCCTCCAAACACGCATTATTATTTTCATAATTTTATTATTATTTCTCCTCGAAGCGCTCAGTCAGACAGAGTGTTGTGATGTTGGGAAATCCGGTCTTGGGGAGGGGGCGGGGTCAGTGACGGCGGCTGCAGCGTAATCATCTGTCTCTTTTATTTAGGGACACCCAGAAGTTAGAAGGAGAGAGAAATAGAAGATAGAAGTTCTTGTTCGACTTTATTCTTTTGTTTCTTGATGATAAACTGATGTTAAATTCAGCTTAAAGAGAAACTGGGAGGAAGCTTTGGTTCATTTTAAGTTACAGGAGATCTTGTTTCAAATTTGCTCCTCGGAGACAGCATGGACATGAAGGTCACATGGTGAGGGTCCCACAGGACTCACTGGGGATCGAGAAGACAGAGCAGACACACACACACACACACACACACACACACACACACACACACACACACACACACACACACACACACACACACACACACCAAGCAATATGTCTATGGTTACATTGTGATTTCTTAGTAAATAATGTATTTGGTGAGAGATAAACTTTATTGTATTCATCCTAGTGAATTTATAATTAAACAAGTAAACTAGTAGTAGCACATCCAACGTCAAGGAAAGTAAAATGTTATTATCAGGAGAGGGAGAATGTTTGTGGTCAGCAGCAGTGTGCTAGACGATGGCTGTTGTGTCCTTGAGCAAGACACTTAATCCGCCTTGCCTGCTGGTGGTGGTGAGAGGGACCGGTGGCATCAGCCTCGCCTCTGTCAGTGCGCCCCAGAGCAGATGTGGCTACATCATAGCTCATCATCACCAGAGTGTGAATGGGTGAATGACTGATCATGATGTGAAGCGCCTTGGGGGGCTGTAGAACCCTAAGAAGGCGCTATACAAACACAGGCTGTCGCGGGTCTAACAGAAGCAGTAGAACTTGTTCCATTGAATATTATAACAGCATGAATCATTTAATCACCTCAGTGGTTTTCATGATGAGTAAAGAATTGTTCTAAAATGACACGTGTATGAACTTTCAGGTCCTGAAGCTCCTGAAGCTAAACCTTGAGATTTAGACAGATTTAATCCTAAATCTAGTTTTGTCATCATGAGAAAAAGTGAACTTTAGTGAAACTACAGATTACGTGATGTTTTTATTATTAAACTGAGGTTAAAAACAGATCGAAGCTAACTTGACATCAACATGTTGTTTTTGTAGTATTATTAATAAAGCAGTGGCTTTTGGGGTCTTTGTTGAAGGACTTACCCCGTTAACAGTTAGACTCAGTGTCTGAGTAAGTCTGAAAGTGTTTGTCTGATCCAAACGGACGGATCAGTAACAGAACCCAGCCTCCGGCCCGTTCCCGCAGTAATTAGAGTAAAAGAAGCGACCTGGCTGGGAGAGCTGCGGAGGTGAGCGCGCTCAGTGTCAAGTTTGATTTAGGAGGCTGCGAATTGAACCAATTAGCCACTTTGGCTGCAGATCAAACCGCTAACTACGGCTGGAAAACGGCAGCTCCTGTCCAATTAGCTGAATTTATGAACAGTGCTGCAGCGGGACGAGATGGGGTGATTTGTTGGGTTTCTGTTAACTGCTGTAGCTGCTGACATTGGACTCAACATGGACGAATACACCAGCAGCTTCGGCTCTACTGGAACATTTTAATTCATGCACCTGTTCCTCTTCTACAGCTGGAACTTACTGGTGCGAAGGGCTGAAGGCGTGACTTCGATCTCACTGGCGCCCTGGTAGGGCTGGAAGGCCGAGGCCGTGCTGCCGGCGCAGAGGTCCACGGCAAACAGGTCGGGGCTCTGCGTTCCCGTGGAGCTGGCGCTCGTTCCATCACCTCCATGATGGGGTTCCTGTTCCTCGTAAACGGCTATCAGCTGGAAGAAAACAAAAACACGACCTCATGAGGATGGATTTGACTCAAGTGTTACTCTACGTCATTCAGAGATCAACAAATCCTAAACTTCTGATCATCATAACTGCCAACGCTGACATGCTAAAACACAACCAGTGTGAGTTACAGACCACTGCTAATGGTTCTGTAGGGTTTTTCTTCATGGAGCAAAACATCTAAACCTCTAAAGTCTGATGAGAGGAAACGTCTCCAGAGACAAAGATTCTAATTCGGAATTTTCCAAACGCTGATTTTATGTTAAATAGAAAGAGAAAATAAAAACATTCACTGTTTTATCATCTTATACAGAAAATGATCCAAAAACAAACCAGCAGTGGTGCACAGACCCTTTATTGCCATAATGCCTTGTGAGAATTAATTATGGTGACTTTATTTCAACACATTTTAATAACAGGGACGTTATTTTAGCACAAACACATAAGAACAATAATAATTATATTTAAATGTTTTGACATTCCCATTTAAGACTCTTGTTGTGAAGGGGTAAAGGAAGTACCTACAGCTCCACAGTGGACGCTGCTGCAGAGCTAAAATCCACACCTGACATTATTAGCCTGGGAAGCCATCCTGTGTGTGTATCGAGTCTAGTCCTGATAAACAATCAAAGCGTAAATATTAGAAAATATTCAGACAAATATTTTAGTCGCCCATTATTAATCATCCATAAAACATAACATTTATAAAGAAAAGCTGATTTTTAGAAGAGTGTTTGAGGGTTTTAGTTTAAAGCTAACAGACTGGGTGGTCCCTCCCACCTGAAACACATCAGAACAGAACGTGGCTCAAAGGAAATAACCGTCATTTAGATCCTCTCTCTTATTTTATAACAATGTCTAATCATACCGTGTCTTCACCACAAGCACTTTCCTGGTTGTTTTATTTTAAGGCTACTTAGCTGGACAGCTCTGATGAGCTCCAGCCTCTACTGAGTCCTTTTATTAGATAAAAGATGAGATTCCCATCCGGCTTGTCTGGCTTCACTTAAACTAAATGAGAACTCCATTCAGCATTTGGCGGATTGGACATCTGCGTCATTCAACTGTCCCTCCTGATGGGACATAATGTTGGGTTTGATCATGACAAAGGTTCAGAGACTCTTCTGGGCGTCCCTGCAGCTCGTCTGGGTTTACTTAAACAATCTCAGGAAAAGAAGAACGCAGAAGAGCTGATCAAAACGCCTCACTGCAGACGGCAAATCCCTCTAAAACAAGCAAAAGTTAAAAACCACTTGGGATGTCTGAAGTCTCAGTCGAACGCGACATGAAAGGCTTCAGCTGGATTTGTTTTAGGATATTATTCTGAGTCTGGAGAGATTGGGCTTGAGGTTCTGGTGAATAATCAATGTTGAATCTGAGTTTAAATCAATGCGGAGATGAACAGCTGCAAATATTAGCAGGTGCTGTAAAACCCAGGTGTAAGGAAGGGAGAGCAGATACCCTCGTCATGGGAGGAATTGTACCTGAGCTCATTCTATCTTTGATCTTGACCCTTAGGCATCTTTCAGCTGAGTGGTCGTAACACGCCATCATAGACGTCAGAAAATGTCACAATAAAGATTTAAGTCCACTTTGCTCATCTTTAAATGTCTCATTGACTCTCTTTCTATAACAAATCTGCTGTGGTCTCTAGTAAGAGTCAATACCTTGTGAGTGGTTTTCTGCAGAAAAAAGCTCTGGCGCTCCTTTTTCAGGAGGTAGGTTTGTCGTCGGAGAGGGGGAGTGGAAAAACGACTATGATGCGAATGTCTCAGCTCTGATTGTCTAACAGCTTCACGACTCTTCCGCTGCCTTCGTTTGCTCTTTGATCTTCTGTAAAATAAAAATTCAACGTTGATGTGTTATCACCACTAGCAACACAAGCCGAGCGCCTTCCTCCATGTTAAGAAGTTGCTAATGGTTAGCTTCTACTAGCCGAGACACCGTGGTAGGGCTGCAACAACGAATCGATAAATTCGATGAAAATCGATTACTAAAAGCGTTGGCAACGAATTGCGTCATCAATTCGTTGTGTCGCACAACTCTTCCAAAAGCGCGCCCCCCCCCCCCCCCCCCCCCCCTTCCTGCCCGCCGTTGCGCGCAGACCAGAGCAAGTCAGATCAGCGCGAGGGAGAGCCGGCAGATCAGCGTGAGGGAGAGCCGGTACCGGCAGATCAGCGCGAGGGAGAGCCGGCAGATCAGCGCGAGGGAGAGCCGCAGATCAGCGTGAGGGAGAGCCGGTACCGGCAGATCAGCGCGATGGAGAGCCGGCAGACTTGCGCTGCTGCGAACCGGTTCCGCATTGTCGCGCAGCGATCCAGGCAGCTGCTTTCAGCGCACGGTCCATTCTCAAAGTGGCGCAACCAAAAAACTATAATTAGCACACGATCGTTCATGTCCGCACATATTCTCTATTTTCTGTCTTATTTGTGCCTGAAGCTCGCTACTGCTGAGCTCATCACCTGTGCTGTGGTGATGTCACCTCACGCAGCATCGAAAACGTGCTCTGCGGTTTGCGGTCAGGAGATCCCTTTGATCTGCTCAAAAGAAACTGATGAGGTGAAAAGGTAAGAATCCAGGCAACAGATTTTCTGGAGAATTAAGAGGAGATGCAGGAAGATGAGAGACAGACAGGACAGGAAAATAGTTAAATAAAAACAAGAAAACAAAACAAAGTGTTGAAAAGTCAAATGTAGGTAGATTTATCTCCACTACACGTTTTTACCAGTAAAAAACAATAAGTTATACACATGTTATATTTATACATCTGATACAATTCAGATCACCTTCAAAACTCAGTCACACACCCAGGGCCGTTTCAAGACATTTTGGGGGCCAAGGCAAAATGCCCCCCCCCCCCCCCCCCCAAAACTGGGCTCCCCAGAAGCCTCTGTGTAATTCATGCCCTCTCCAGTAGTGTTAGTTATATGGTGTTTATAAAAGCCCCTCAGACATTACTGACATGTTCTAATATTATCAGATGAAAAACAAAATTATCAGACATGCTGTCTCATCTGCTGCTTTTCTAAACCTGCTAAAAGTAACAAAACCATTTGAAAGCCACTATTTGTGGATTCTCTGAAAGTTTCCATGGAGTGTGTGACAACTTATTTTTTCATTGATCCTATCGTCTAATCTCACAGCTGAAACAAGCATCCTTAATCATCTGTGCACAGGAAGCTTACCGATGCTGTAGTAAAACAAAAGGTATAATAATTTATTATTAATAAAACCTTGTTGCAGCACTAAAGCAGAAAAATTAGATTTTGCATTAAATATGCAAAATATTTACATATGAATTGTTTTAGAGCCCTTTAATTGGCAGAATCTGATATTAATTTAGTTCTTACAAAAAATGGGTCCCAACATGGTTTGTGTGGCGTTGCCATAGTGTGACGTCATAGGCACAGATCCCCTGTCCTCTTGTTTGGAAATGGAAATATGGTCACCCTACATTAAACAAACTGTCCACCCGGGCTTTTGCGCTGCACAGAGACGCTTCGCTGCCTACGACTGAATGTCAGTTGAGAGTCAGTCTCATGCAGACTGACCAATGAAGAGAGGGCCTCAAGTTAAGACCCTCTCCTCATTGGTCAGTCCACACGAGGTGGGTCAAAGGTTACTCTGGGCGGGTTACGTGTTGTCAGGCATTCAAGTATTGAGTATATTTACTGCATATCACAGTAAAATATTCTGTATGTGACCACATTATGGTGATCCTTGGGTCGTGATGATGGAGCCCTTGAATATTGTTGCCCAGGGTACAACAAAGTGTTAATCTGGCCCTGGTTCCGCCGTCACATTCCCGCAGAAACTGGTTGATCACACCGGGGCCAGACTACTAGCATGTGGTTTTACAACCACAATGTCCTCAGAAGCAAAAACGCTTTTAAAAGGGAGGGAGGAGTCCTAACTGTTGCTGCAGGCGTGTTGTGTGAGAGTGCAGTTATATACTGGTTAATATATTTTTGGGTTCAGTTGCTTTCATGTGGCCTAATGTGAGTCTATTTGGGATCATTGGAATGATCAGCAGCATTTCTTGATGTGACTTTATGGCAGTTGCCCAGGGCATCATCGCAAGGAGGATGGCATTCATTTACTTTTGTTTTATTTGGTATTTTTTCAGTCAGTTTTGGAAATAGTGATCAATTTTGATTAATTCACAGCCTATGTTTAATTACATTTAAAATAAATGTTAACAGATGAGATCAAACAAAACAGATGAGAATTGCCCTTAAGCTGTTTAACTTGGACCAAGCATTTTAGGTCACAGATAGATGTAGCTTAGGGTCTCTGTCTATACACCTTATAAGACAATTTAGGTGATGGCATGTTGTTTTTCTGCTATTGAAGTGTTTTCTAATAATGTTGTGTTAAATAAAGTGAAGGAAGGAGAGAAATAACGTTTCCCTAGCAGTTTTTAAAAATTTCCCCATGTAATCCGATTAATCGATTAATCGTGTCGAGACCCCATTCGATTAATCGATTATCCAAATAATCGTTTGTTGCAGCCCTACACCGTGGGTGGTCCCAAGCCTATGTGGGCGGGGCCACAAATACTAATTTATGTAGAAGAGACTGGCCCATTTCCTTTCTGTGTCTAATGCTGACAATCGGGGTTGGAGAAATTCTTCGAGTGCAGCAAGCATGTGAAACTCAGAGTGACTAATCACATTTGGAAAAAAAATGCATCACATGGTTTCTCAGTGAACGAGACCTTTAAGAAACACTCATTTTTTTGCATCGTAACCTTTTCTGAAAATTGGATTTGGGGGAACGGAAGCAGGATTTTGTAAAATCCTACCAGGACACGCTACAAATAAGTAAAATAAATAAAAGTAAAGTAGAAAATATAATACTTTCTACACGTTGCTAAACTTTCCTCCTATATAATCATAACTAAACATTAAAGCTACAAGGAACGACCCAATCTGCTTCTCTTGTTATGATGATTACCCTCATTATAATTTCATAGGATATACTAATT